TTCCCTCAAGCCCTGCCTTGCTCATCTTCTTTCCACTGTTTGTTCAACCCATTAATCAATTCGTGTTGCAATGTTTCTGATTCTATTAAAAACCAAAACCAAATCTTCCCAGCTGTACCATAAACACTGTTTAGTTCTCATACAGACAACTGACTCATAAACCTGATCAACTGCATCTGCTTGGGCCTCCACACAACAATTCAGTATCAAGGACTTGTTACTCACTGATCACATTCAATTATCCCAAATATTCTTAAAATACTCCGTAAATAAGATCCGAACACAATCAACTCTCCGTTAGCTTATGTATCAACTCTCCATTATCTTATGTAACGAGAGAACAAAGGTATTCTGAGCAGTGGAAAATCCCAGGTGGTAACAATGCTACAGGTCACACAACTGACAGTACAGCAGATGTGCTCGAATTGCTGAAGTAGCTTTGGTCTACCAATTTTTCCAGCCCCAGTCCAGCACTTCATAAGAGGCAGCATGTGCAGACTTAATCATGCAGTTGCAGGCTTAGTACTACAACTTTTCAGACAGTAACAGTTTAGGTCTATCACTGTGTCTATACTAAAATGCCTTCCTGAAGCCCATTGGGGTGCAGAACACAGTACAAATGGTTCAGTGTGCCCTGTGCCAAAGCAAGTCAGTGAGGTTCACATGCCCAACCTCACAGAGCATCTGCTCTAACACACACTGGTAAGTTCCAGTTTGGTTCCTTCTCCAGTCCTGACTCTGACAGCAACCTGAAAAAATGCCTTAGTGATAACAGAGACAGGAGTTCTAGGTTCATTTCAAGTTTTATTTAAAACTGTTTTCCAGAGCAGAAATACTAGAAAAACAAAACAGCTCGAGCTCTGCAGTCAGCATTAAGATTCCAGAAAAGTCCTGCGGTTCTTAGACCAGTACTGATTTTTCTGTGAAGAATTCTGAAGAATAATTTGAAAAACTCTATTACAGCTTGTCCCTTAATCTCTATTTTGGCTGCATTACATGAGAAAAACACCATTTTCACAGTATTAATGGTTGCTATTTTTCAGATAACAAAGAAATCAGAAATACTTTGACAAAGATGCTTTAAAGCTGCTCTCCCTGTTTGGAAGAAAAAAAATCAATGGTATTCAGAAAGGTGATATACTCCAAGAACACGCATTAATCACCTGTAAAAACAGTGACATCCATCAGACCTTCTGCTCCATTAGCTGAACAGGGTATCTGTGTATTCCACTAAACAGAGACTAAACCAACAGAAATACCACCAAGAACTGCAATTTACAGTATGATGGAAAGATGCCTTAAAATTAATCAGGAGCAAGAGCCTGATATGCATTAGTTAGATTACACCCCAACGTTCAGAATCACCATTTGGTAATTCAGCAAGACATGTTTGGATCATCTTAGATGATACAACTGTGGTTTGGCACTTTCAAAGACTAAGCTACAATGGCAACTAATGAAGTAGATTGTTAATGTGAGTCACTGAAGCACAGGGAACAGATTGGGGAAGAACAGCAGACTGACAGTTGGATGAAGGTCTGACACCACAGAGGGAACAGATTCTGAATGAGTCTTCAGAACCGTTTTGCCAAACCAACAAGCAGGCTGCAGCTGTTTGACATGCATGTTGTTGATGTGATCTGAAGGACAGGCTTCATGGGGAGACTGAGTAAACTGGGAACAGACTTGAAACAGTCTTAAGGATACTTAAGCATTGGAACAGGTTGTCCAGATAAGCTGTGGAATCTCCACTTGTAAAAGCTGTGAAGACCTGAGGGGACAAAGCTCCAAAAACCATGGTTTAGATCAAGTGCTGACTCTGCTTCCAGCATAAGGGCTGGTTATAGGATATGTTACTATCCCTTACACCCTGAATCAGCCTATGGTCCCAGAGGTTAAAAGAAACCTAAAAAACAGGGTTCAGCAACTTACAACATGATAGCTGAAAGGCAACACAACAAAAAGTGCGTATGGTTGGGAGCTGGTACACAAAACAA